CCCCAGACTGGCAATCTAACCACTGAACAAAACTGGCCAGGGCAGTATGTACTTCTCAGAACATATGTAATTAGTCCATGTCATACTGATGGATTATATATCAAAATTAGTGGTTTTTGGAATTTGGAGCCATTGATATGAAATTTATAACTGGTAAATAAAATTAACTGAACTAACTAGGCATATACAGCAGTCATTTGTGTCTGTGTGCGCATGCACACACACTGCATATATCTGGTTACTATGATACCCTATTCTCCATTTTAAATCCATGCAACTGTAGCATTCTCCCTTCTCTTCCCACCTCAGTACAGACAGCTAGCACCTTGGGAGCCTCAGCTCTTCCTCCACAGCACAGTTAAAATCTGATATCCTGCACGCAAAGTTCTATTATGTTTGGCCCAAAATTCTATTTTGTTTTTTAAGAAATTGAATGCCTTCATATGAGATTATATTTTCCACTTTTGCAGTAGTCTCCATTGCTTATAACTGCATCACACCTGGGTTTAATTTGTTATAGCCTTAAGGCAGAAGCTTAGGTCATTGATTTTAGATCATTTAATGTTATATGTTTTCTTTTAAGCACAACTATAGCTGCATCCCACAGATTTTCATTGTAATTCAATTAAAAATATTTACCTATTATTGCTTGTGATTTCTTCTCCCCTCCCCTCCCGTCCTCCTCTCCTTCCTCTTCCTCCTCTTCCTCCTCCTCCAGCTGTTTATGATAGCAAAAACAGTTGATTAACACAGATTTTGTATGTTATATGTATTATATACAATATTCTTACAATAAAGTAAGGTAGTGAAATGAAAATATACTACTACACTGTATTTATTGATATCGTAAGTTTGTCATCTGCTTCATCTTCAGTATCAACATCAATACTGTCTTACATGATATAAAATACTATAGCTGTTTAACATATAACTAACACTAGACATCAGAAATGAAAAAGATAATGTGAAGAAGAAATTTATGTTTATTCACAGATATAACAATAATTCATGCTAAAATAATGGAGAAGCAGTAATAGTCATCTGATGGCACACATAAACTAATTACTAAAATTCCATGGCACACCAAAAATATATTTTTTTGCCAATCTGTATAATTTTAATTCATTTACACTAGATGGCTATTGTGTTGGCTGGTTTGTTTTTTTTTTTTTTTTGAAGTCTTTTATTAAAGCCTTTTTTTTAGAGAGAGGAAGGGAGAGGGGAGAGACAGACAGACATCGATATAAGAGAAACATCAATTGATTGCCCCCCTTACAAGCCCCAACTGTGGGGTCGAACCGCAACCTGGGTATGTACCAAGATCAGGAATCAAACCTGTCACCCTTTGGTATATGGAACCACAGTTCAACCAACCCAGTCACACTGGCTAGGGCTGTTGTCATTTTTTTATTTGGCAATCTAAGGAAAAAGAGGTCAGTGCCCCTGACTAAATAGTCAGGTATTGCATGTTTTAAAATTTTTTGTGGCATACCGGTTGAAAATCTCTGGCCTAGTATAATCAATAAGATTGGGTCACAGTAGCCTAGCCTATACACTAATGAATCATTATAAAATTTTAATGGCATACTGCCCTGACTGGTTTGGCTCAGTGGCTAGAGTGTCGGCCTGTGGACTGAAGGGTCCCCGGTTTGATTCCAGTCAGGGGCACATGTCCATGTTGTAGGCTCGGTCCCCAGTAGGGGGCCTTCAGGAGGCAGCTGATCAGTGATTCTCATCATTGATGTTTCTCTCTCTCTCCCTCTCCTTTCCTCTCTGAAATCAATAAAAATATTTTTAAAAAATTTTAATGGCATACAGTATTCTAAGTCATATTCATAATACAGCATTGGAGACATCATTATATATATATATATATATATATATTTCTTTTTAATTGATTTCAGAGAGGAAGGGAGAGGGAGAAAGAGAAACATTAATGATGAGAGAGAATCATTTGGGTGCCATGTTATTAATGTTTATGGTATTGCACTAAACGCAATGGAAAATATGCAAGAAGCTCAAGAGATCACTTTTTACTGTGTACTCTAGAGACGAGCTGATCACATATTTGTTTTGTGAAATGTCCTTCAGTTTGGGTTTGTCTGATTTTAGATTTTGTCAGGAATACCACTAAAGTAATGTTACATCCTGTCAGAAGGCACATGTTAGTGGTTTGTCCCATAACTATGATGTTACTATGTTAGTGTTTGGTATTGACATTTTGAAACGGCAAGTATTCTGTTTTCCATCACTTTTTTACCAACCCACTAGTATTAATTACTTCATTAATGAACTTAATATAAATAAAATGGTTGGGTATAAGATATATCCAGCAATGTCCACTTATATCTATATTTTCTTAGAGCTACACAGAAGCTTGGAAATGACTGTGTATGCTCAAAACAAAAATCAGAATTCTGTCAATAAGGAAAAAAATGATACAGTGGTTATACCAACCCACTAGTATTAATTACTTCATTAATGAACTTAATATAAATAAAATGGTTGGGTATAAGATATTTAAATCTCAGTAAGGCATTTTTCATTGCTTGTCTTATAAACTCTTACTTTTAGTAGGAGGTTTATTATTTGTATGTCCCATCCACATTTCCAAAGGGATGCGTAAGAAAGAAGGCAATGGAAGGAAGCTGTAATGGTATAGAAAACGTGCATGCCTTCTCTGCAAGCATGGGCGACTTCTACTTCCTTGATCCTTCACTGATAAAGTTTTGGGGTTGCTACATCTCATTTTTAACAAAAATTATAGAAAACAGAACATTGAGAAAAACTTTCAGAAAGTTGTGTTCTGTATCATGGTAGATACAGTAGTTCTTGGTAAAAAGTATTTGGGGCTCCAATTTTTTTTTTTATACCCAGTGAAGAGGTTCTGAGACAGAGGATGGGGGGTTATGGGGAATCTAGAATTTTCATGACAAAATGCCATGCTTTTGTGTATTCATTGGAAAACATTTTGTTCTTTAGAAAAGTGTATTTTGTTTAATTGTATGATGTTCCATGAAGTTTATATGAACATTGTTTTTCACTTTTGTCTAGGAAGTGTATCGGAATTCTATGCCAGCTTCCAGTTTCCAACAGCAGAAACTTCGAGTCTGTGAAGTCTGCTCTGCTTATTTAGGTCTTCATGATAATGACAGACGATTGGCTGATCATTTTGGGGGTAAACTGCACCTGGGATTTATTGAAATAAGAGAGAAGCTTGAAGAATTAAAGGTATATTGTTAAATTAATATCACTTTATCTAATTTAACCACTCATTCTTTTGATCTGTATTAGTTGTCTTTTTGTATAGTAATCGTGACTGTGAGTCCCTTTCACAATTCATACTGAATAGTGTAGGATTTCAAATGGAGATACCATTGGTTTAATGGATAATGTTTGAGAGACAGACCTTTAATTACTATTCCCCTATTCTTGGAGGTAGTAGTTGAATATGATGGAGTAGGAATCTTGCAAACTGGTTTTAAACTAATTATTTTATACAAAGTCCCCTAAGTTTTTCTCTTTTTCCTATAAAATAAATAATATAATATTTACTCTAAAGGAAGTTTGAGAAAATGAACCAAATATTTAGTTGAAATATTTTGCAGTTCTTCACTACATAGCAATCTGGTAGGACCTCTGGTTTTATTTTACACTCCTGCCTCCATTTCAGAAAGGAGTTAGAATGAAACCTATTTTTTAAAAAAGGACAATCACTGTCAAATATGTAAGCTGTTCTGAGAAAGGCAACAAGTTCTTACTCATCTGCTGAGTTCTTTTGAGAGGATAAGCAAACAGAAAAGGTATATCTGAGGAGGTAAACATAAACAGAGTGGATGAATATTGTAGTTAATAGTGGCTCTCTGTATTCTGAGTAGCTAAGATGATCTCGCTCAGGTAAGTTTTAAAAAAATGACAAAATGAGTTTCAGTATAGCAAATGATACCTACTTGGGAGTCTTTGCAGATAGACCTAGCAACAGAACAGTTCAGCATTTTGCTGTTTTTAAAATAGCAGCATCAGGATGGTAATTGGAAGTGACAGAAAACATTTCTATATTGGAAATCATAGAGCATGGGAACTTGTGATTTATAATGGTTGGTTGATTTTAAAAAATACAAAATAATGCCAGAAAGTATTCAGAGGAGAAAAAATTTATAGAACTAATTTTCAAATATTAAGAAGTCATGAAGGCCCTAGCTGGTAGTTCTGTTAGAGTGTCATCCTGATAGGCCAAGGTGCGAGTTCGATCCCTGGTCAGGGTATATACAATAAGCAACCAGAATGCACAAATAGTAGAACAACAAATCAGTGTTTCTCTCTCCCTCTCCCTCCCTTGCTCCTTCCCCCTCCCCCTTCCTCTCTCCCTCCCCCTCTCCTTACCCTCTCTCCTGCCTCTGTCTTTCTAAAAATCAATAAGTAAATTTAAAAAAAAATAGAAGAAGTCATGGAGGACCATGAAATTTTATAAATTTTACAAAAAGATAAAAGATTTTAGAAACCAGACTTGTAAGTCCAATGATTTTCCTTATCAAAATTGAATTGTTATTAGCAGATTTTGATGTTACTTGTACAATATTGGAAACCAGATCTGGCTAAAGTTTAGGATAATGCTCATTAAGAATGGACCCAGTAAATGTTTCTCATTTATTATTATTTAAACTTAGTTGTTTTTTTTTGTCTTTTAAGAGAGTGGTAGCTGAGAAGCAGGAGAAAAGAAACCAGGAACGCCTGAAGCGAAGAGAAGAAAGGGAGAGAGAAGAAAGGGAAAAGTTGAGGAGGTATGGAGTGATGAATTGAATAGTCTAAGTATTTGAAGTTGAAAATCCTGTTTCATCTTTGAGATGTGATTGGTATAAGATTTTAGATGTTAACAAATGTAGACATGGGAAATCTTGTTTACTCTTTAAAATGCTACCATGCAAAACAATGTTTGTGCAAGTATGTTAACGTAATGGCCATTAAAGTCAAGGTCCTTTTTTCCTTAAAAGTGTATTAAAGAGGTAATAAAGAGAGAGTCACATCTTTGTTTTGTAAGCTATGTAAAACTCTTTTCTAGCCCCCTGATTTTCATGATGGGATAGATTTGTACCAGGTTGGCACGGAACTATTTTTATGATATATTTTATGCTTGATAAAAGGTTTGGGTGTTTTGTTTTATTGATTAAATTTACTTTCATTCTACACTCAATTCTAGGAGCTATAAACTTTTAAAATGTTTACTCAATAATAAATTATTTTTAATTGGTATTAGTTATTTTGATAGAATCATATAAATCTTCATATTTACTTCATATTTATAATGTTTAAATGTTCTGGGTTACTTTTATTCATTATCAACAAACTGCTTGGCACTCTGGTGGCAACATTCTTTGTATGTGTTGTTCATAACTTCAACAATGTTAGGATGTGCAGGTATGCCACAAAAGATTCACCTGTAGTTCTAATTTATAGTGTTCCCTTAATTGTATTACACATCTCTGAAATTTAAATGCCTTACCCTTGATAATATGTATAGGTCATGCCAACTTCCTCCAAGCTTTTTTTAAAAAAATATTTTTATTGATTTTAGAGAGGGAGAGAGATAGGAAACATCAGTGATGAGAGAGAATCATTGATTGGCTGTCTCCTGAACCTCCTACTGGTGATAGTCTGCAGCCCTGGGCATGTGCTATGACTGAGAATCAAACCGTGACCTCCTGGTTCATAGGTTGACACTAAGCCACTGAGCCATGATGGCCGGGCCATCTTCCTCTTTGGGGAAGTGCTGTCATTCCTCCATTGATGTATATGTTCTTCATTTACCATAAAGTTCACCTCAGAGCTTTAGCTCTATTCTCTTTTGTGTACTCAGGTGGTGATACTGCCCAATATTGTAATATTTAAAATAATATAAATGGCATTAGAAATCTCAGTTTAACTTAAAATTCAACTGAATGTAGTGCCACTAATATAAATGATTCAACGGAGGTAAATCAAATGAGAAAAAAAATATTCTTTGCTGAACTACATTTTCACATTTGTGGATGACAAGAAAGTACATTGCATCTTCTCTGTTGCCACTTGACAAATTCTTTTAAACAATAATTATAAACGCAATGTATTTCAGTAATGCTTTTTTAAAAATTTTAATCTATATATGAACTTAAGTATTATAGCTAAGTATGGAAGATGAGGAAATTGCAAGTGAGTTCAAAATTATACCACATAGGATTCCAGCTGTGGTACTGAAAAGGGTAATGATAAAAATTACTGTTACTTACCAGCGCTATTTTCCAGGCACTGTGCTAAAAATTTATCTCTAGCAGTTCATCTAATTTTTACAACCCCCTGTGAAATTAATATCACTATCCCTCTTTTACAAATGACAAACTAAGCTGAGGGGAATATATATGTCTGCCAAGGTCACACAGATGGTGAGTGGTGGAACCAGAGTTGAAACATCAGGCTGATTCCAAAGCCATGCTTCAACCATTTGTATAGTCTCCACAAAAAAAAAACTATAATATTGGCTATTACTATTTATTGAGTGTTAATTGTGTGCTAGGAAATGTAAGAGTGTTTTATGTAACTGTCATGTGTCATGTTGTGCCCCCTGGCCTGGTGGCTTGGTTGGTGTGTCATCTTGTATACCAAAAGGTTTCCAGTTCATTCCCTAGTTGGGGCGCATGCAGGAGGCAGCTGATCAGTATTTCTTTCATATTGATGTTTCTTTCTCTACCCCTTCCTCTCTCTCTCAAAAAACAATAAAACATATCCTTGGGTGGGGAGAAAGGAAGAGGGGAGGGAGGGAAAACATGTTATAAGATTGATTTGGGTGTTCTAGGGATTATAGTATGAGTTTGCAGATCCAAAGTGTATACATCTCAGATCATAGAAATTTTATTCTGTTCCCAGAGGGCAGGAAGAAATGACAGTGAATTTTTCCAGGGTTGGAAAGTAAGTGGTTTCTGGAGAATTAGTGAGTTGTGATGTACTGTGTTAAGAACCAGGTTTCTTAGTTAAGAGAATTCATATGCCAAGGTGGGGTAGAGTTTGTGGTGTATTTTGAAAAATTTTCTGTGCATACACATGCCTTATATTTATAAAATTAACATAAAAATTACACATCAGGAAGAATGTAATTTTTAACAGCCCAGCATACTTATTCCCATTTATAGTTACTTTTCTAAAAATAGATTTTTTTGTTTTGTTTTGTTTTAGGTCTCGATCACATAGCAAGAATCCCAAAAGGTAGGTATAATACAAGTTAAGCAGTGAAGCTGTTTTTTTTTTTTCAAATAAGGGTGTTATAGATAAAATGCCTTTTAAAAATGAACAAGAATTAATAGATTAGTACACTTAATATTTTTGTAGTTCAAGTTAAAGCAATATCTTTTGCAAAGAAACTGTTCAGAAGATACGCATGTACTATAGTTTAGTTTTATCAAAGTAAAATTATATAAACAGTGCCCTGGAGTTAGGGGGGAAACTTAAAACATTTCAGAATATTTCTTTATTTTTAATTTTTTTTAAATTTTTATTGATTTCAGAGAGGAAGGGAGAGATAGAAACATCAATGATTGGCTGCCTCCTACATGCCCACTACTGGGGATCAGCCCACCACCAGGGCATGTGACCTGACCTCCTGGTTCATAGGTCGACTTTCAACCATTGAACCACACCGGCTGGGCCAGAGTATTTCTTTTTTTAATTGGCATTTGTGTGCACTTTATTTTTTAAAAGCAAAGTTAGCTTCTTAAAATTATTTTTAAATTTTTATTGATTTCAGAGAGGAAGGAAGAGAGAGATAGAGACACCAATAATGAGAGAGAATCACTTATTGGCTGCCTCCTGCACGCTTCCTACTGGGGATTGAGCCTGCAACCTGGGCATGTGCCCTTGACCAGAATTGAAACCGGGACCCTTCAATCTGCAGGCTAATGCTCTAAACACTGAGCTAAACCAGCTAGGGCCAGAGTATTTCTTTAAAATCTTTAGAAGGTCAGGGTAAATATGTGAGAGGATATTTTTTAAAAAAATCAATTTGGGTGGTGCGTCTAAGAAACATTCTAAAAGGTGTTGAAAATGTAAGTAGGTTAAATAATTGGATACATTTTTGAATGAGAGGTTCATGGTGGGTTAGTAAGGGAAACTAAAATGTTTAGTTTAGCCCTGGCCAGTGTGTACTGTGAACTGTGCACTGAAAGGTTACCATTTCGATTGCTGGTCAGGGCACATATGAAAATGCCCTGTCAGAGTGCAAACGGGAAGCAGCTGATTGCTGTTCCTCATATCAGTGTTTCTCTCTCTTTCCCCTTCTCCCTTTCTCTCTCTCTCTAAAAAATCAATAAAAACATATTAAAAATAAAATGTTTACTTTATGCCTCCATCTTGACTTTCTATGAGTTAGTACTTACTACCCTTGGTAACTGATCATAAAAAGCTTGAAAGGGGCACTCACAGCCTTCAAGAGGAAAAGGACATGGTAACACCTTGACTTATGGATTTCATATTTGGGGGCTTTTTGAAGCCTTTCTTTACAATTTTTACTAGCTACTGATAACTGTTTTCTATCTGAGAAAGGTGAGAAAACATGGTGTACTTTATCTTTCTTAATTCTTCACTTGCCATTCTTGTTCTTTTTTTTTTTTTTTTTTAATATATTTTTTATTGATTTTCTACAGAGAAGAAGGGAGAGGGACAGAGAGCTAGAAACATCGATGAGAGAGATCGATCAGCTGCCTCCTGCACATCCCCCACCGGGGATGTGCCCGCAACCAAGGTACATGCCCTTGACCGGAATCGAACCTGGGACCCTTGAGTCCGCAGGCCGACGCTCTATCCACTGAGCCAAACCGGTTCGGCAACCATTCTTGTTCTTATTCTTGACTCTTTCTCATGAATTTATTTCCACCTAGAATGCCCTTTCTCATTCTTTTTGAAATTCTAGTATTCCTCTTGTTCGGATGACATTTTTTTTGAAACATTCTAAGTACTCTTAATTCCAATGAGTAACTATTTCCCAAGAACTTTTTCCTCTAAACTGGAGCATTTGTCTCTATGAAAGAAAAACCTGCCTTATCTGGTTTGGCTCATTGGATAGAACGTCGGCCTGCAGACTGAAGAGTCCCGGGTTTGATTCTGGTCAAGGGCATATGCCTGCGTTACGGGCTCAATCCCTAGTAGGGGGCTTCAGGAGGCAGCCAATCAATGATTCTGTCTCATCATTGGTGTTTCTATCTCTCGCTCTTTCTCTCTGAAATCAATACAAACATTTTTTTTAAAAAACAAAACCTTATATGTTTTAGATGCCCCTAAGTGCTTCTTAGCCTTTCAGTTATTGTTCTGCTTAAAGCACTAAAAAACTAAGGCATTAGTAAACAAAGAGGACAGGTGTGTTAGCTATTTACGATGTGAGTTTCTCACATCCAGAGTAGAAGGATAAGCATCAAGTGATGATACTGTTCTGTTCATTGGTTGGTTAATGCAAGCTGGTTACCTTTGTTGACAAAAGTATTTAAACGATTTGTATAAGTGAAATAAATCATGTCAGCTCTGTTTAAGTCCTCCAAAGACACTCTATTTCTTTTTTTACTACCTCACCTATTTTTATTGCCCACATATCTGGAATATATAGGTTTACAATTGTTTGTGTGGAAAATACAGTAATTAATAAGTATTAATACAAGAATAAACTCTGTGTTTCCCTTACAACTATAAACATACTCTTGCCCACCGGTGTAATTGCAGCACAATCTTAGAACAATGCAGTAGGCATCCAGTAAATATTTTTTGAATGATGGATAACTTTAAAAAGATACATGAAGTAATACATTGAAAGAAATGGATTTATTATAATAGATCAAAGTGAGTGATTAACCAAAATATAATATGGCAAAACTTGTATTGAATGAATTTTATGCTCTTTCCCCCTGCATAAAATTTTATCTTGTGAATTTTCATGTCAAGGAAGAAATCTAACTTCTTTAAGATTCTGAATCTGCCCTGTGAAGCTAACTGTATTTAACAATGCATACCTATTATGCTGATTAAACAACAATATACTAGAATGTGTCTGCTCTGTGGAAGTGCACCAGCTCCAAGAAGTATGGAAAACAAAATAATTTTGTTTTCTTTTGTTAAACCTCACCTGAGGATATTTTTCCATTGATTTTTAGAGAGAGTAGGAGAGGGAGAGACAGGAAAACATCGATGAGAGAGACAGACAGACAGACAGACATTAAATGGTTGCCTCAGAAAGGTTCCCCAACCAGAGTACATGCCCTTTACAAGAATTGAATCTGTGACCCTTCAGTGTGCAGGCTGACTATCCACTGAGTCAAATCGCCTAGGGCTCCCCCTGCTTCTTATCAGAAATATTTTTTAAAATCTTTTTTTATTGCCTAGCTGGTGTTGCTCAGTGGTTGAGCCTTGGCCTACGAATCGGGAAGTCATGGTTTGATTCCTGGCCCAAGTTGTGAGCTCAATCCCTACTAGGGCGTGTAGCAGGCAGCCAGTCAATGATTCTCATCATTAATTTTTCCATCTTTCGCTCCCTCTCCCTTCCTCTCTTTGATCAATAAAAATGTAATACAAATATTTTTACTGATTTTTAGGGAGAGAGGAAGGGAAGGGGGAAAGAGAAAGAAAAACAATGTAAAATCGGAACATCGATTGGCTGCCTGTACACGCCCCTTTGGGAATCGAGCCCAAAACCTGTGCCCTGACCAGGAATCAAACCAGCAACCTCTAGCTACTTGAGAGAATGCCCAACCAACTGGACAGGGCCAGAAATGTTTTTTTCAAGTGTAAAATACTCTATTCAGTTATGATTAATGTCCACAATATGTGCCTTTCTTTGACCATAATGTTGACATATACTAAATGCTTTTACAGTTCACTTAACAAAATAATCATTGGAAAATAAAATCAGTTTGCACATGTAACACCTGAATAATGTGCTTTTGTACTATTATATTAAGTGACTCTTCTAACAAAGTTTCATACCTTTATTTCTCATTGTTTTCCCTCAGTTCTCTGTCTTCCGTATATGCCATCCTCTCACCACACACAATATACAAGTTAGTTTTGTGACCAAGTGGAGGCTACAGAAGTGTTTTTCCTTCTAGGTTTTTTTTTTTTTAATATGTTTTTATTGATTTCAGAAAGAAGAAGGTAGAGGGGAGGAGAGAGGGGGGCGGGAGGAGAAAGAGAGAGAGAAATCAATGATGAGAATCGATAGGCTGCCTACTGCATGCCCCCTACTGGGAATTGAGCCCACAATCTGGTCATGTGCCCTGACCAGGAATCCAACCGTGATCTCTCGATTCATAGGTCGATGCTAAACCACAGAGCCACACTAGCCGGGCTGTCTTATTCTGTTTGGATTATACTGTGACTAGGCATATTGTGGACATTCAAACTTCTTCCTTTCTTTTTTTTAAATATATTTTTATTGATTTCAGAGAGGAATGGAGAGAGAGAGAGTAACATCAATGATGAGAGAGAATCATTGATTGGCTGCCTTCTGCGTGCTCCCCACTGGGGATCGAGTCTGCAACCCAAGTGTGTGCACTGACCAGGAATTGAACCATGACCCCCTGGATCATAGGTCAACACTCAACCACTGAGCCACGTCAGCTGGGCCAAATTACTTCAATGGTCATACAAAACCTCTCTAATCCAGAGAGCTGAAGTTTATTCTAAACAATATTTTTTTCACGCCTCTCCTCCCTTCTATCCATGTCCATCAGGTACATGCTTTATCTAAAGTATACTAAAAGTCTTAGAAGTTTAAATGAAATTTATTCCATAAAGCATCTAGAATCTACAGTAATCCTACATAATACAATCCCTGATGTGTAGTAGTGATACAGATTGGTTTCCTTCCTTTTTTTATATTCCTGATGTAAATTTATACATTTTTTTTTAAAACATTTTTTTAAAAATATATTTTTGTTGATTTCAGAGAGGAAAGGAGAGGGAGAGAGATAAAAACATCAGCGATGAAAATCATTGATCCGCAACCCAGGCATGTGCCCTTGACCAGAATTGAACCTGGGTCCCCCCAGTCTGCAGGCCTATGCTCTATCCACTGAGCCAAACCAGCCAGGGCAATTTATACACTATTGATTGACCTCTGTGCGTGTCATAGCAACTGGTCATTCTGGCGTTTGGTTGATTTGCATATTAGCCTTTTATTATATAGGATACCAGCAGTTTTAGTGTGGATTTAGTTGACTTGAATAGAATTGGCATTAAGCAAAGCTACTAAGGGATAGTTTCTGTTTAAAGAGAGGCTTTAGTCAATGCGCAGCGTAGTGTTGACAAAGCTAAAAAGTAAATCAAATGTTTTTTTTATAGATCCAGGTCCAGAGAGCATCGCCGACATCGATCTCGCTCCATGTCACGAGAACGAAAGAGGAGAACTCGGTCTAAATCTCGGGAGAAGCGCCACCGCCACAGATCTCGCTCTAGCAGCCGAAGTCGCAGCCGCAGCCACCAGAGAAGTGGGCACAGTTCTAGAGACAGAAGCAGAGAGCGATCCAGGAGGAGGTACTGAGGTGTCCATAAGAGGACATGGAACTACCTTTATGGTTTAGAATTGGAATACTATTGATTTGAAACTTGCATCTGGTAATATGTACACATTTGTGTGTGGGTGTATTAACAGTTTTTTCCCTGATTGTATGGGTAGTTCAGAAAGAATATTCTTATGAGCCAGAGAAAGACATTTGGAACAAATATGTGCAGAGGTTATGCTTTTCTCTGCGTCGTATGTTTTTGGCGGGGGTGGGGGGCGGGGGAAGACGACGTACTTCATGGGCAAATAATTTTAGGTACCAATAGTCTTAGAGTTTTTTTTCTGTATGTATTGATGAATTAGGGGCTCTGAGCAGTCCTTTCATTGAATTGTTCAGCTTTGTTTGACAATGTTTTCCATACTTCTTTGAGCTGGTGCACTTCCGCAGAGCAGACACATTCTAGTATGTTGTTGTTATATACAGTTAGCTTGACAGGGCAGATTCAGAGTCTTAAAGAAGTTAGACTTCTTCCTTGACATGAAAATTCACAAGATACGAGGAGTGCAGACCCAGGGTGAAGTAAGTTTAAGGACCTGGAAATTTCATCGGGACAAAGGATAACAATGTGGTGAAGCCTTAGTACTCAGTCTATGTAGACCAAACTCCCAAAGTGTCTCAGGTTACACGATGGTCCTTAAGCTAGTTCATTTCTATGGAGCATAAACCATACTTCAGGTTGCTTTTTTTCTTGACAACTCTTTTTTTTTTATTTCAGAGAGGAAGGGGGGGGAGAGAGAGTGTAACATCAGTGATGAGAGAGAATCATCAATCTGCTGCCTCCTGCATGCCCCCCGCTGGGGATCGAGCTCACAACCCAGGCATGTGCCCTGATTGGGAATCAACCATGCGTGATCTCCTGGTTCATAGGTCGACGCTCAACCACTGAGCAACACTGGCCCGGGCTTTGAAAACTCTTCTTAAACATGCATATGATTTTTTGAGTTCCTGGTCTCTATTGGTTTTAAATTGTCTATGGGTTATGCTACATAAAAACCATGATAGAATCCACAGAATGCTGTTTAAACTTTCTGTGTTTTTTTGATCCCCAACCAGCCATTCCCTGAAACCACTCACAAGCTGAGTTAGTTCATAGGCTGTCAATCAATATTTATTATATTCTTGGTTTGTTCCAAGTAGGTCTTTCCTCTCCAGCTTTATTGAGGTATAATTGGCAAATAAAATTCTAAGATATTTAAAGTGTGCACTGTGGTGATTTGAGGTACATATACATTACAAAAGCATTTTCACCATTAGTTAATTATCACCTCACATATTTATCTCTCTCTTTTGTTTTTGGTGAGAACATTTAAGTTCTACTCTCTTAGCAAACCAAGAAGTTCTTAAGGTAACTTTAATCAGGAAGAACTGTATACTTTCTACTGTACGTCTAGTAAACAATACCAAATATAACATAGTTGAGCAACTTTATTCAAGTGAGTTAGAACACAGGATTAACATCTTGGACAACAGACTGATATAAAACCTAGCATATTATAAAGTGCTAAACTGTATGTCATAGAGTAACTAATACAGGAGTGTAGATGTGGGACGTTCCAGAGCAATAAAAAAAAAAAAATGGCTCAGGTAGTAGATAAAACTTGAATAAAGTGGGTATCATTTGAATAGATAAAACCAGGTAGGAAAAGATATTATAAAGTGTTACCAGGCAAATGTAGAGAATGAGCAGGGAATTTATATAAGGGATAGTTTCTGATAGTGTGATTTGCCACTTATCTCAAATTCATAAAACTGTAGGCACGGTGCCATACCCAGAAAAATGCATTTAAAAAATTCTCTGAATTTTAACTGCACTGTAAATTTTGGGAATCATTCTGCTGGTTGATGGATGGTCGACAATTACTCTGGAGAGCCCGCCCACCTTTCATTGTTTCTGGTATCTGTCACCTCTTTTATGGTGGTTGAGATAGAAGGGTTGCTCATCTGAGATTGTGTTGTTCTAGTCCCTAATGCTTCCTGCATTTATGAAGTTGTATAGGACATTTTCCCACCGTACACGTGATACCTCTACTAAATTTTCAGCATGTCCTAAAGAGGATTATTTTTGTAAAAGTTTTGTTTTTCTCTAGAGCACTTCTAATCTTCATATTCAAATTACTCTTTCAAAGTAATAGTCTTTGTTTTTGCCAAAAATTATTGGAAAGTTGCTATTAAAACCTATATGTTATTACAAGTTATTGCTATATATTTGAGTTTAATTTTCAAGGTAAAAGTCTCAGTTAAGAGTCTTTAATGATTTGTTGTTCCCCTGCCCCAGCTGAAATACTGGTCTCTGATATAAGCATATTTATTCTGTTTGTGACCTTTCCCTTGCAACAGTTACTCTTGGTAAATGAGAGCCATTTTCATTTTCCTGCTTCCTTCTCTGTTCAGACATATAGTGCAGACGCTGGAGTCAGACTACTTGGGTTCGGTGGCCTGGGCTAAGTAATTTAATTATCCTACCTTTCTTTCCCCGTCTACTAGGTAGAGATAGATGGTAAGAATACCTGCTTCATTAGGACTATTGGTAATTTGAGTGAAATAGTGAATGGAAACTGCTAGTGTATAGTCATTGTGATTTCTCACAAAGCATTAGTTGATGCTCATCTCATAGTTGATTTTCAGTTATTATTACTGACCTCTTACTCATCATCTCCATATTCCATTCCCATGAAGTATGGATAGGATTAATGTTGCCAGATGTGTACTGTGTGGTGGTGTTTTTTACACATCACTTTTAAATTAAGCTCATTAAAATCTTATTAAGCAGAATGCTCGAAGTTGGCATTACTTTATCTTTCTACCTTTTTAGTTTAATCCTCTTTAACTATATTTCTAGAACTGAGTATGGTAGTAGTTTTTTCCTGCCATAGAAGTTGAAAATATTAATCAGGCCTCTGATCCAAATTCTGAACATGGGTTAAGTGAGATAGTTATGTAAAAGTATTATGTCATCTATAAAGAATGAAATAAACATAATATGTGGTACTGATTCATTCTAGATGTTGAAAGTATAGAAAATTCAATATTAATTCTGATCCCGTAATGTCCTTTGGTTTTTCTACTGACTGAATCTCTGATATGAGCTTGTTTTGTTATTATTTACTTTGTTGAAGTTGGGTGTGGGAATAGAGAGGCGGTATTAAGAAACAGTCATGGTTGGGTACTCTTTCCCCCTCCTCACGTGGGAGTCTGTGCTTATTTCTCAAAAAATTTCCACCATTGCTATAAAAAGAAAGAAAAAAAGAAACAGTCATGGTTAATCAAGATTTATAATAGTGTGATTGTATTTTTCTGTCTTCCATCCTGATTTTTTTTCTGTTGGTTGAATGAGCTAACTCAGGAGAAGTAAAGCAGATTTTTAAAATAATGAATGGTTACCTTGTCATTAAATGAGTAGTTTTCTTATCTAAGTTGCCTGCAGGCCAAATCTGGCCCCCTAACCTGTTTTTGTATAGGCAGCAACCTATGGATGGTTTTTACATTGTTAAAGGGTTGATAAAGAAAAGGAAGAAGAATATACCACAGAGACTGTATGTGACCTCAAAACCTAAAATATTTACTCTGACCAGACAGCAAAAAAAAGTTTTGCAGAACCCCTGTTTAAGACATTGATTTCCATCCTATGTGGGATCTACATTCTATTATATATTTTAAAATAAGATAATACCTTTTGCTTTTTTTAAGTTATTGTCTATAATTCTTATGTTAAATGCATTTGCTATGAATTGGAGAAGCTTTTTTGATTGCCTCTCAGAATGAGAATGTCCTATAAATTCTTATTTTCCGCATATGGTTTTTCACCCTTAGCTATTTGTTTTCACCCATGTCTTTGTTTTAGATAGACCCTTATCAAATATGGTAGTGCTCTTTTCTGTCAGAACACTGACTCTTGTCTTTCTTGGATATATTCTGTATGTCTTCAGCAGTCATACCTTAATATTTATCCGATTCTTTCTCTTGGATTTTGGGTTCCCCAACACATTTTGCTCCTTAAATTAATATTTTTCAGATCCTCAAAAGAAAGATTCAGAGACCAAGACTTAGCATCACGTGACAGAGACAGGAATTCAAGAGACAGATCACCTCGTGACAGAGATCGAAAAGATAAGAAGCGGTCCTATGAGAGCGCTAATGGCAGATCAGAAGACAGGAGGAGCTCTGAAGAGCGCGAAGCAGGGGAGATATAATTAGCTGTGTACATATCCTCAATCCTTAAGCTTCCTATGGAGTTACATACTATTGTTTAGTTTACAGCTGTTTGGGGTGACACAGGGAGCAGTTCCAGACACCGATCCAGCTAGGCTAGATATACAGTATCTAACTTGATCTGAACTGAACTTGTTTTCCTGATGAAGCCTAAACTACAACTATAGTTTCTGGTGAACCTGTAATGCAGTTCTGAAAATACAGTTTTATAAAAGACGCAGAGGTCTTTATTCTTTCAAGTAGGAGTGATAGTGAATGAATTGTGTAACTTGCCTTGGGATTTTTTGAGCATTTGTAAAATGCTGTCTTCCTTTCTAGTACAAACTGCAGCCTTTGGAATTTTTCTTTTTAATTCTTCTTCCTCTGACTTTTGTATCCCCTAATACCTCCGACCCTCTAATTATAAGAGAAAGGGGGGTAGGGAAGCAATATAACTTCTAAGGTTCTGTTCCCATTAATTACTAGCTGATTACAGTTCAGAGCATTTATACTGGAATGTGTGCTGGAGAAATTTAAATATTGGGAGTTTTTGTTTGTTTATTTTAGAGTTGAAAGTTAAACAGCTGTTGCATTACATACTTTGCTTTTTTTGAAATCAAACAAGTCTTGATTTTTCTGTTGTATTGAATTGCTACATTCGGGGTGTTTTTGAAAAGGGGGTGGGGGCAGGGACTTTTTCATAAGCACTTGTTTTCTTTTGTGTGTGTGGAATATAAAGGCTACACCCTTATTGTAACAAATAATAGTAAAGTGAAAGAAACAATCACCACCACCATCATTAAACTGTAACCTGTCTTAGTAAATTGTCACTAGAACTATGCTGTGGGCATACCTTCTATTCTGTTATATCATTAATAGTGCCTTACTGTGCAAGGCACCAAAGGAAATCAAATTATACTTTCGACGATTCAAGATGAACTGTTCCACCTGGGTCCTTGCCGACTATATTCCAGCTGCTTCAGGGCTGTCTGTAACAACTGCTATCAAGACAGACTGGACCTGCAGAAGAAATTGGGGTTTTCATTTGTTTTTGTTTTGTATTTCTTCTCATTCAGCAAACTGAAATAAAAACATGGTATAACTAACATAATGAGGCTATTTCTGCATTGAAAAGCTCAGTATACCCACTATGATTTAAACAGGTATCATGTGATTCTAGAAAGTCTGAGGAACAAAAATACATTAAATAATGAAATTAGTGTCTGTGAGTATAATTATCTAAGACCACCTTTCAAGAACTATTTTTAATTTGTTCCCCTAAGTGTGAGGAATGCAGGCCTCATGGAATTTAGAGTGTAAATCTGAGACCATCCTCACATCTCTCGAGGTTGATGGTTGACAGCTGAGAGGCTCTTCAGAACCTCAGTCCACCATCACATGCTGTAACTAATTTAAATATTAAAAAAAAATTTTTCTACTCGAAAAACAAAAGCTTTTTACATCCTGACTTTATTATACCCTGACTTGATATTTAGATTTTCCCAGGGTATAAATAAGGCAATACAAAGTTGTCCTCATTTTTCTTTCCATTACCTGCTCTAATTAGAAAAAGCAATCCCAGCTTCAGGGGAGTTAGGAAATGCTGGGGAGGACTCAGAGAACAGGGTTTTGATGACAGAGGCCAATTGGGGGACCAGGTAGGGGTCTACCAGCAGAATGGTGCTGGGACCACAGGTGAGCAGGGCCTTCATGCATTTTTTCCAGGTACCAGCAGAGAAACCAAGATGTCGAAGGTTCTGGGTCTACAAGCACATCTGGGATTAGACCAAACTAATGGCCAGCATAGTAGGGTTTAGGCTGAAAGCAAGGCATTCAGGCTCAGAACCAGGCTCTCAGTCAAGGATCCATCAGAGAGACGAGGCCCTCAGAGCCCCAACCGTAATACACGCCTATGTCAGGGTACTGTTGGCTGCCCGTAGCAGAAGATCCAACTCAAATGGGCTTGAACAGTGAAGGGTGCCTTGGCTCCCATGGCTGAGTTCCATGTGACAGCCCCATACTGAGCCTTATATCCAGATGAAACTTTTTCTTTGTGTCTAAAGAGCAAGGCGACTTTTCTCAGAAGCCTCAGGCAACCATTTTCTCACATCTCTGTGACCCAAATTAGTTAAAGGTGCAATTGCAGTTACATAGAAGAATATCCTTATTTTGAGGAGATGCAAGCTGAAGTATTTATGGGTGAAGTGTGTTGATGTCTGTAACATTTTCAAATTGTTCAATTTTATATATACATAAGTAGGGTAAACGGCAAAATGTTTATTGTTAGAGCTAGGTAGATAGCATATGGGTGTTCTGCATATTGAAACACCCTATTTTACAAAGCTGGGAGATATTTTAGATTTTCCATTTAAATCACTTAAAACATTGCCCTGTGGGCATGGATGTTTTAGGTGGGGTTTCTCTAAATACGGTCTCTGGACCATCGGTATCAGAATCACAAAAGAAATATACGAATGGCCAATGAGTTCATGAAAAAAGCTCAATATTCTCAGCCATCAGGAAAATGCAAATGAAAACCATTGAGATTCCACTGCACACCCACCATAATGGCGAAGTGTAAGAAGACTGGCAACAAGTGTTGACAAGGCTGTGGAGCAACTAGAACTCTCGTGTTGCGGTGGATTGTAAAATGGCACAGCTGCTTTGGAAAACAGTTTGGCAGTTTCTTATAAATTAAACATATCCTTACCATACACCCCCAGGTAATCTTACCCCAGGTACCCAAGAGAAATGAAAACCTGTGTCCACACAAAGACTTGTATTCCAGTGTTCACAGCTATATTCGTAAGAGCCTCAAACTGGAGGTAACCGTGGTATCACCAACTAGAGAGGAGATGAACAAATCCTGATACATTCCTACAAAGCAAAGACCTACTGATAAGTGCAGCAACATGAATAAGTCTTTAAAACCTTTTACTTAGCTAAAACAGATACCAAGCAGTACGTACTGTACGATTCTTTTATATGAAATCCTGGAACAAGCTAAACTTAATCTGTAGAGATCGAAGGCAGATTTATTTGCTTGGGGCTAAATGTCCAGGAGGGAGGGTTGTTGACAGCAAAGGGACATGAGAGAACTTTCTAGAGTATTGGTGCTATTCCATATCTTGATTGGCAATGGTTCTGCAAATGCCTACCTTTGTCAGCAGGTGCTCCTGAGATGAATGCATTTCCTTTGGTGCAAATTAGACCTCAAAGTTGACTTAAAAAATATACATATATACTTTATTTTTTTCTGGTAGCAAGATGGGCTCTTTTAGACAGGGTTTCTCAGAATGTGGCTTCTGGCCCCTCTGCATGAGAATCACCAAGAAAGCTGGTAGAAACCTCACGTGAGGGCCCTGACTCACTGAATCAAAAACTCGGTACTTGGGGGATGGTGAGTTCCATGTGCTTAACACAGGTGACTATTCAAGACTAGATGTCCAGAGCTGCTCCTCAGGGGCTGCTGTGGGCTGCTGCGCCCGCCGGTGTCAGAGGCTGTTCTCGAAAGCACATGGAACAAGCCAGTGCTGGTAGCAGCATTACTAGACGAAAATTTCAAACAATAGCACCTGGCAGTGCCTGGTGGGAAAGAGACTAGAAACATTACTCAGAGGAATTCCATGCAGACCAACCTGCTGTGTGACTTCTCCAGCTTCTGTCTCATAGGAAGGGAAAGACATGCTCCGAAGGTGATGCGGAAACTTACTTGTGAGCATGTACCTCCATGATGGGTGATTACAGGCTGGAGGAAAAGGCAGCGGCAGCATTGTTTTCTGAAGCTAGTAGTTCTCAAGCCAGCTGCATATCAGACTCTTGTCGACCTTTTTTAAAAAAAAAACTTTTTAATTTCTCTTTTTATCAAAGTAGGATATAAATATGAGTCTTGTGTATTTTTTAAAAATGTGAATATGATTTTAAGTTAGTACTACTAAAGGATGTGTTTTTAAAAAATCAGTTCTACACGATGAAGTTAAGGACAAAGCTTTTGAACTGGAGCTCACCTGGGTTGGTGAAATAACTAAAAGACATGAAATTGTTCCAAAATATATAAGGGAAGATGTGGAGAAATATGCTAAGGAACCTTTTTTTTTTTTTTTATGTTTTTATTGAGGGAGAGACAAACATTGATCAGCTGCCTCCCACACGCCCCATCAGGGATTGAGTTCAAAACCCAGGCATGTGCCCTGACCAGTAATAGAACTGGCAACCTTTTGGTGCACCGACGACGCTCAACCAACTGAGCCACACCAGCCAGGGAGCCAAGGAATCTTTGAAGGAAGATGAATCAGGTGATGATAATGTGTAACATTTACTTCAGCATTTATTTTAAATTTCTAACAGTCTCCAGGTAACTATTTAGCCCCTGAATAATTATGTACCCAGTGACCAATTTTCTTTAAAAAAAAAAAAAAAAAAATATATATATATCCTATATAATAAAAGGCTAATGTGCAAATCGACTGAACAGCGAATGACTATGATGCACACTGACCACCAGGGGGCAGACACTCACACAGGAACTGCCCCCTGGTGGTCAGTGCGCTCCCACAGGGGGAGCACCGCTCAGCCAGAAGTCCTGCCACGCGCAGTGGTGGTGGCAGGAGCCTCTTCCCTCTCCGTAGCAGCACTAAGGATGTCTGACTGCTGGCTTAGGCCCACTCCCCATCAGTTGGACATCCCCCAAGGGCTCGTGGACTGTGAGAGGGCGCAGGCCAGGCTGAGGGAACTCCCTCCCCAATTGCACAAATCTTGTGCACTGGACCTCTAGTATATGTATATATATATATGTATATATGTGTGTGTATGTGTATATATATATATAAAATCAGTCTAATTATTATTCCTGGTCTTTAAAGGCAGATGTTACTTTTTAACCTTAAGCATAACAGCTTGATGACTTTTTATGCAGCTATACTCAACTCACCCAGATCAAGATCTAGACCATACCCAGCACCCAGGATGTTCCCTGGCTCCTCTGCCCAGTTATTAGCCACTTCTGACTTCTGTCATCAATTTTAAGGCAATGCTTTATAATTATTTTCGCTATTCTAGTACTTGTCTCCATATTTCTAAATAATCTTACACTTTTGATTTCTTGATTTGCCAACTTTGGACAGTAACTAGTAACGTCCTAATAAGCTCATTCTCTTACTCCCCTCTTCACCAAGTGAAGCTAAGTAAGTCAGATTTCCAGCCCTCAGCACCACACTCCAGGCACCGCCACAGCTGATTCTCAGTGGCACCTGTGCCCTGGGGTCCCCAAGCCCTGGTACTTGGCTCTGAAGCTGGGAGGAACCCAAGGGCTCCTGATGTTGAACCAGCCTAACGCACCAGGCACAGGATGTCTGCTGAGAAGGGCTTTGGAGTGAAAATCGAACATGTTATCAAGCCCTGGGGTTAATCTGCAGTTGGAATGAGAGCCCAGAGTGCTTCTAAGACTCATTGCTTGTCAAGTGCGTTGTTGAGGACTTGCCCATACATCCTATACAAGCTACTGGTTTAAATGAACCAACACAGGCTTCTCCCAGGGAAATTTGGAAAGGAAAGTTTGTTTGTATCACAGTTGTGTGGAATGTTCAGCACCAAACTTAGATGCAGGTACAGCCTCCTGTCAGACCCCGTGCTTTGCAGGAACTTCGCCTACCATGGTGGTCCTCTCCGCATCGACCCAGCCTTGGCCATCAGTGTGCAACCCTCCTCCTCCTCCGGGGGCCACCACTTCTCACTTGCTGACACGGGTCATCAGCTGTGTGCCCCTTGCCTGGAAACGGCATTTATAGCAAGGATGTCACCGCTGACAAGCCCTCTGGCCACAAACCAGTGGAACACTCATTTCATGGCTCCATGTCCACTCAGGTGGGGCTCACCTGTGATCACTAATCCTTTCCGTTCCTCTAGGACTGAAGGGTGCATTGTGATGAAGCAGGTAAGGGAGAGAATGGGTAATGGCCATTTTCATGAGGGAGAGACCAAGGCTCAGAAATGCAACAACAAAAAAAAAAGAAACCACTTCAAGGTCTCTGAACAAATCCTCTTCAGCAGCTGGAGGCGAAGATGGGCCACAGAAAGCCTTCCCCGGAGGTGATCTTCCTGTAACAGAGGCCCAGCTCCCCACTTCGCTCAGGCAGGGTCCCCAGGCACCAAGCAGGGAGCGGCGGGAGCTTGGGTCCAGGGGATAGGCCCCCCTCGGGAGGGAACTGTATGCCCCCAACAGGGTTGGAATGGGCAGAACCCCAGTCAGTTGGTCCCCTGGGCACAGACCCAGGGTCTTGAAGAGGCGCAGTCCAAAGCCATGAGCTTGCCTCCCTCCAGGCCCGCACACTTCAGACCCGGCTGGTCCTTGTCTTCCTCCGGGACTCTGGGGAAGGACAGAGGAAAGAGGGCACTCAGGTGTCGCAGGCCCTCCAGCCTGCATACCCACCGGCCAGGCCCGGGGTGTGGAAAGAGCCCTGTGGCAGGAGTCATGAGGATGCCCCTGGCTCAGCTATGTGGCACTGGGTGAACCAGTAAACCTCTGAGTCGCACGTCCCTTATCTGGAGAACAGGGTGCCAATCCTGCTTGGGTGACGGTACTGGGGGTCTAGATAAGGGATGGGGTGGTGGGGACTAAACAAAACCAGGCCCTGAGCATGGGTATGGGGTCAACTGAGGCATTCAGGCTGGGGTGGAGCAGGGGGACCGAGTGTCGGGAGATGGTGGCTCCAGATGGCAGTGGGGGAGGTGTCTGCAGGGGGGAAGGCCTCCAGCCCCCCTTTGGCGCTTGCTGTGATGTTACTCTGGTCACATTGGGGAGCCCATGCTAGTGCAATAGGGATAGAGGCCCCTCCCCCCCAGGCCCACAGTCACTCACAGCTGGGGTGGCAGGGGGCCCCCGTCGATCCAGTGCCAGCCCTGGGGGCCTCGCCGGGCCCCCACCCAGGAGTACTTGGTGACAGGGTATCTGCCCAGGAAGTCCTGAGGGAGAGAAGCAGCTGGTCACTTCTCTGGATGCTGGTTCGTCTCACCGGGACTTTTGTAAATTCCCAGCTGGCCAGGCCAGAGAAGCAACTCAGCTCAACCCAACTTTCCCAAACACCAGGAATCAGGAAGTTGGATGGGTTGCTTGCTGGTTGCCAGGTGCTGCACTCAGGATGGGGCCCAGAAATGGGGGCGATCTCATCTCAGCCCTCAAGGTGAGGGGATGTGAATGTCAGTCCCTACCGAGCAAGAGGAGTGGGCAGAGGAACAAAGAGGCTCCGAGAAGAGGCGGGGAAAGGCATGAGCAAAGCTGGGAGGTGAGTGATGGGATGGATCAGGCTGCAGGAGCCTCCTGGGAGCAGATGGTCAACAACACAATTGCCAGCAAGAGCACCAGTTACATTGTCTCAGTTCGGTGTGAGAACTGATTAAGACCATTAAAAAAATAGGAAGTCCACGGAGCACTACAGGGGAAAGGTGTAGCTCGTAGTATGTGAAGGGTCACAGAAAGCGAAAAAGCTGAATCACAGTGTGGCTTGATTATAATAATGAAAAGGTATGTACATACAGGGACACAAACATGAGGAACAGCAAGAATGAAAACAAGTGTGTTAGCTATTAGAAATGATAATTTTACCGATTTATCCTTGATGTCAGATTTTTAACAAAACATGGTATTAACGTTAAATTCAAAACTTTCAACTTGTTTTTCAGTTGCAATTCAATTACACTTAAAAGGTGTTTCTACATTGAAATTCCCGGTGCGATGCTGCCGGTCCATACTGGCCCAGTCTTTCTGGAACATAACTTGGGGCTACGCCCATAACAAGATCAGAAACACGGTTCTAGTCACTTGGATGGGTGATTCCACGTTGGGGAGTAAACCCAAGAGCATAAAGGGGAGTAAACGAATTTACCCGCAGGTAACACAGTACCATTTATAAAGAACAATTGAAAGCCACCCAAATGCCCAGCAATGGGGAAATAACCAGGCCAATTACGGGATAGCAACATGATGGAAAATTGCAGTGCTGTTAGAGATGACAAGGCACAAAAAATGTAGTTACGCAAGAAAATGTAAATATGAAAGGATGCTGTGGAAAAGGCAGACCACACCAGCAAGCGCACCTCGCCCACAATGCCAAGAAGCATATAGTCACGTTAGTGAAGCGGATGGTGTGAATGGATTTAACGATATATTCAGGTCTTCCCCAGAAAACGGTTTCAGCTGACAAAGATAAAACCTCTATTTAACCCTGGGAATTAGCAAGTGAGCACTGGAGTGATGACCGTGCCACTCCTATTCATCCTTCAGTCTCACTCACCATGGACCACCAGAGCCCAGCAGTCGGCCAGCTCAGCAAAACTGCCTCCCTGTGACCCTGCCGGTAACCACCAAGGGCCCCGGGCAACACTGGGCCACCACCACAGCTGTGTGCCCCAGAGGTGTAAGCACACATACATCTTACTCCCAAGGGAGCACCAGCCAGTCAGTAGCTGAGAGGGGCCAGAAGCAACTTCCAGGTAACCTTGCTAAGCTGACCCATCTGAGATCCCAAAGATCAGATGGCATATGAAAATGGAGAGTGATGAGAACAGGCAGGACACACACAAGCCCTGCCTTAGCTGGCCTTCTCCTCTTGGCTCCATGCCCCCAGCTGGGGCCCACGGGCAGGGCTGGGTGGGGAGCTCTGGAGAGGATGAGGCTGGCCCCGAGGTGTGAGTCAGAAGGCAGAGCAGCCCAAGCATCTTGCTGCCCAGCTGCACAGACCTGCCCTCCGGGGAGAGGTCAGCTGCTGGTTGGGAAAGGCACACCAGGGCTCAGGCGAGCTGTCACTGTGAAGCGTAGAGCTTTGGAGCCAGGCTGTCCCATGTTCAAACTCTGGTTCTGTTGACTTGTCAGGGCTGTGACCTAAGGCAGCTTACCCAGCCTTTCAGAGCTTCTGCAAGGTCCACTGTAAAATGGGGACATTTGCAATGAGGCCCGAGATAGCATGTATAGAGCCCAGGGCACAGCGTACGCACTCACTACATCCCCTCTGGGAGGAAGCCCCGTCTCTGCTGGGTGGTGTGCAAAGCTTTGCGCCCTGCTCCCCACACGACCTCATCTGATGCTTACAGCAATGCCAAGGGCACCCTGTGCTCCTTTCTGTCCTAGCCCTCTGGGCCTTGGCCTGTCCCATGCAGCAATACCCTCTCCATTCGGCCTCTTTCCCTTGCAGCTCAGACTTCATTAACCTGTTAGCAAAAATAATGGTGTGGAAAAAGCACTGTCAAGAATTATAAATAAATTCCAGAAACTTCCGCTCAAAGGACTGCTCGGTAAAGATGGCACAGCGATCCTGGGGCCTCGCCACCTCCCTCGGGTGCGTCTCCAACTTTCCCACCAGTGCGGGGAGGGAAATTCTGATCCTGGGCAGAATGTACTTGAAATCTCATGTTTTACACCTTAAAAGTCAGGCAAAGTATTTTCTATATCTTCATACACTTTTTAAAATTGTGGTAAATTACACAGCCGGTGTGTACATGTAAGGTAGCTTCTCCTTTCCTCGCCCTGCAAAACGAAGCTGTCGTTGAGCCAATGGCGAGTGGCTCTGCGATGACATAGGTGGCCTGAAACTCTCCTTTTTGCTAACTGAGCAAAACCTGCTCTGGGGATGAGCCGTGTGCACTCCCTGGTCCCGTGGCATGTCCCTGGGGCTTGTGCATCCCAGCTCAGGAAGCTTGGCCTTTGCCAGCCGGTGCTCCCCACCCCTGGCTCGGCACCTCCCGGAGCTTCTGGCCCTGGTCCAAACCTGGGGAGGATTCATCACACGCCGATTTTAACTGCCCGGACCCAAATCTTAGAGTGGGTCTTTCTGCAAGGGGCTTTTTAGAAGCTCTTTTTTGGAAGGAGCTTATCCAGGCCCTGTGACATATTTTCTGAATGTTTACTTATGTTTCAATCGATTGATCCTGCGTGCATTTTTTTTTTAATCTGTTAAACCTGGCTCCCCTTTTGAGGACCCACCAGCCAGGAGGCCATTGCTCAGCTGAGGTCCAAGGTCATTCTGGATTGACCATGACTGATGAAGGCCTGAAGGGCACTGGCTTTCTGATGACACTTGCTGTGCCCAGTGACTGTCTCAGGAAATGGAAAAATTAGGCAGGGCTGCCAAGTCCCTGCCCTGCTAGGCTCCCTCCCCAGCTTCAAGCACTCTAGGGACCTGCCCATGTTCCCACTGGTTTTTAACTTGCAGGTGTGATCAGGCTGGGTCCTTTGATGCAGGGGCCTGGATAGGTTTCTCTGCCCAGCCTGGTCTCATCTCACAATGATAAGAACTCAAGGTCCAGCCCAGGCCATGGGCAGAAACTGTTCTATACCCATATCTTACCTCCATGGGCTAGAAAAAAATCAAATATCACTCGAAATCTTGCCTCCTCTACATGCGAACTACCATTAAAATATTAGCATGTTTATTCTTCACATCTATATTTACCACAGTGGGAAATTTTTTCAGTCTACACTGCACCTTCTTCATTTCCCCATGTTTTTTGAGATTTGTTATTTCTACTAATATAATAATTTATGTTCACTGTAAAACATTTTCTCCAGCAGATTTTTATGTCTACTTCCAGGAGTTCTTCCAGAGAAAAGAAAAAGACAGAAGTTGCGCTCCCTGTGGTATGGGGCAGAAATCGTTTATTGCAGGACTGAGCAGGAGCAATCTAAGAAAATAAAATTTTATGCATGCAAAGATCTAAAATTCTTTTTTTTTTTATATATATTTTATTGATTTTTTACAGAGAGGAAGGGAGAGAGATAGAGAATCAGAAACATCAATGAGAGAGAAACATCGATCAGCTGCCTCCTGCACATCTCCTACTGGGGATGTGCCCGCAACCCAGGTACATGCCCTTGACCGGAATCGAACCCGGGACCCTTCAGTCCGAAGGCCAACGCTCTATCCACCGAGCCAAACCGGTTTCGGCTAAAATTCTTGATTAATGTCTGCTTCACTCATTGCTCTCTTAGCTATCAAAGATGGAGGCTGTGCTGTTCAGGCTCATCACTGAATTCCACCCTCCCCCCAAAACAATATAGAGAAAGTGCTCAACAAAGATTTATTGATGCTGCATTTTCATAGATAAGAGAACAGCTAACATAGATTCTTGGCACCTAAATTAGATAAAATGAAGTCAAGGTCCTCTTTTATAGCCACTCTCAAACCCACCGGTTGGATTATTATCCAGCAAATAGTCACTCTCCCCCCCCCTCCCCAGGGGATGGAGATCCTACGCTGTCTGTCCCCGTGATGTTGGGCTTGGCCTTGTTATTTGCTCTGGCTAATGGAATGTTAGCTGATATAACATCAGCAGAAGCCTTAACTGGTGCTTGATTCTTGCCCTGCCATTTTTCTTATGAAGACTTTCCCTCAGGTAGAAGGACCAGAGAGTCACAGAGTAAACCCCGCAGGGCTCAAGGCCAGCCCCGCAATCTGCATCTGAAGTTGAGCTGTCTGACAAACCAAGATCAGCCCATCAACAGTCCTCCCACAGATCAAGAAATGCTTGTGGTCTAAAGTCACCGAATTTAGCGGTGATTTGTCACCCTGCGTTATTATAGCAAGACCTGAATAGCATACCCACTAAATGTAATTTATTTTTCATATAACCTCCCAAGAGTATGCATGTGTCTCCCCTCAGATCTGCCAGCGCAGACTGGTTCCTGAGCTCCCTGTTGGCTACATGGCCACCACGCGGGACGAGGGCAGCCCTGCTCTGGTCCTCCAGGTCCACCTCCACCTCCACAACTTAGAATGCAGAGGAAATTGAAGACCTCGGTGATCGGAAGTCTAGTGCCCCTGCGTGCCACTATCTTTCTCCAAGCCTCGTGACTTTTTCTGAAAGGTGGAGTTGGACTAGATCCTTGCGATTCCTTTCAGGGCTAGCAACCTGTACACTGTAATGATACGCACACCCCTCCACTGCCCACCCTTCCTCCCTCCCTCCTTACCTGGGTGTGGCTCAGCAGGGGGAGTGTAGCATGGTGGGCGGAGCAGAAAGCCTGGCTGGCCTCCCAGGCTTGAGCTTCAGTAGAGAGGTAGTAACAGTGCTCCCCAGACCACAGCCAGCCATGGGGACACGGCCGGCACACGGCCCCTGAAAGCAGAGACCACAGGTGAGCTGCAGGGTAAACTAATGAGCTGAGTGCGTGCTCCTTAAAAAAATTAAAACCTGGCCACCGCCTTGACTGAGGGGCAAGCAGGTGGGCAGGGACCGCAGAAGGCTGTACAGTTTGTGTGGGGCCCAAAGCCCCCCAGGCAGGGGCTGACCCCCAATTGCCTGTCAAAGCATAGCTGGGAGGAGGCACCATACCTGTTTTAGAGGCCAGGGCCACAATGGCGACCATGGATACCGCCAGGAGCACGGCCATGACCGCCAGGGCCCAGCGCAGGGACTTCATGTACATGGGCAGCCCTGGGGAGGGGAAGGGACAACCAGGAGAGACAGGTTAGAACCACTGACTTATACCCCAGCATCACGCCCATAGGAGCACCCCCTCCCTCGGCCCAGACACCAGGATAAGCCACTCGATTTAGGTGAGAACAGCCTATCTGGGAGAAAAATGCTGGATGTTTACTTCTTAAATAAGGTTCTATTCAAGAAAGAGAACAAGCCCCGGCCAGGTGGCTCTGTTGGTTCGAGCGTTGTCCTGATAGGCTAAGGCCAAGTTCAATCCCTGGTCAGGGTGCATACAGGAGCCAACCAATAAATGCATAAATAAGTGGAACAATTTGATGTTTCTTGCTCTCTCCCTTCCTTGCTCTCTAAAATCAAATAAAAGTTTTAAAAAAGAGGACAAATAACTGGCTAACAAGCATTTACTGTGCAGCTAATGTACCCTAGACACAGGGTATAAATTCACCAAGAACAGGGCAAGGCCCCTGCACTCAAGCAGCTAATAGACTGGGCAAAGGTACCCGGAGATAAAATTACCAATGAGAGAGGAACGAGGGCTAGATTTGGAGTTTGACAGACCCGGGTTCAAGTTCTGACTCAAGAGTTCTTGGTGTTTTCAGGTTTTAACACTGAAATCACACCTGCCTCTTCTGTCTGTCCAGGTCTGGAGGCCACCAAGGAAGCCTCATAGGTCCAGAGAGCACTAGGCAAGTGTGAGTTGTCAGCAGCTCAAGGCCCCAGGGGACCAGATGGCTAGCATGAGGTTGCAGAGAGGAAAGGAACTCCAGAGATGGGAGGGGGGGGTGGGGGGGGAGAGACACGGGACCTAGCCACATCATGGATGACCTTAAAAACACTATGTGCTAAGTAAAAGAAGCCAGACACAAAAGGACATGTGTTATATGCAAACCCATCGAGACAGACAGTAGACTAGTGGCTGCCTGGGCTGGGGGACGATAGCTAGAAGATACAGCACTTTTCGGAGTGATGAAAGTATTATAAAATGGACTGGTGATGGTCACACAACTCTGCATATGCTAAAAACCACTGAATTGTATGCTTTAAATGGGTGAATTGTGTTATGTAAGTCATAGCTCAGTGAAGGTGTTACCCAAATAAGCGATTTGAAAATGCGTGGAATAAAAGATACATAAATTGACAGTCTTAAAATAACAAAAGCAGAACTAAAAAAGTCTGGAGAAGCAAAGGAAAATAACCCTGCCAACCACCTCAGTAAATATAAATATTGTGACGGAACAGTAAATTCAGCTCCAACCTTTCAGAAAACAGAGCAGTAACAAAATACAGTAAGTTACTAAAGTCTCAGACACCTTCCTGGGAAATGGCCCCCCACAGCCATTTGTCTCCCAAACTTCCAGGCAAAGAAAAAGTTCTACGCACTCCCTTTAGAAAGCAATTCTTTTTTTTTTTTTTTTTAAGTTTCTATTGATTTTCAGAGAGGAAGGGAGAGGGATAGGGATAGAAACATCATCCATCGGCTGCCTCCTGCACGCCCCCTACTGGGTGGGGATCGAACCCGCACTACCGGGAATATAGACAGTGACCTCTTGGTTCCTGGGTCGATGCTCAAACCCTGAGCTACACCAGCTGGGCTAGAACGCAATTCTTAATCACACAAGTAACAAATACATTCTCCTTGTAAAAAAAAAAAAAAAAAAAGAAAATACAGCCTGGCTGGTGTGGCTCAGTGGTTGAGCATTGACCCATGAACTAGGTCACTGGTTGATTCCGGTCAGGGCACACGCCTGGGTTTCCCCGCTCCATCCCCAGGAGGGGGGAGGCGGGGCATGCAGGAGGCAGCCCATCAACGATGTTTCTCCTTCATCGAAGTTTCTATTTCTCTATCCCTCTCCCTTCCCCTCTCTCTAAAAATCAATAAAAACATTTAAGATAGAAAATACAGATGAAACTACTCCCCTTCCCCTCAAAACCAACCAACCAACCAACCCTCCTACTTACCGTCCAAGGCTTAGCTCCAGGAAGCTTTCCCAGCCACTCCCTCGGGCTCCCTGTCCAGGATTGCTTATTTGTTTCTATCTTTTCCAGGCTCTTTCTTATTCCCTCCCGATTGCCTCCCTGCCCCACCCCGCAAAGAAACGCACACACACCCTAACAGTCTCAGCAATAGTTGTTGCATGGATGAGTGGGGGTGGGGGGTGAGACAAGTGTTCCCCAGTGTACAGTGGACGGAGAGAGAGCCTGAGCCTGCGAGCGGGCGGCCCGGAGCCGGGAGCCGCGGACTGCGTTCCCGCCCCGGCGGCCGCCGCCTGAAAAGCGTTCCCTCCCCGGGAACCCTCCCCCCGGGAGCGGGACTATGGAAGCTGTCGGGAGAGCGTAAGGGGGAAGAACAGTGGTTTTATACTTTCATCGAAAACCATCTGAATTATAATTACGTAGACCAGAATGCTGCTAGTTCCAAGCCAGAGAGAGCACAGGTGGGGTCGGACATTGGGAGGGTCGCCCGGGTCCCCTAGTCCCTCCAGAGCAGGGCCCAGGGCTGGGTGGCTGTTGGGGGACCTCGGGCTGCGAGGCCGACCCGGCGGCGCGCGTACCTATGAGCTTGACAGCCGGGTGCAGCTTCATGTCGCCGTCCGCCTCGG